TGGTACACACATCAGTACCTGAGAAACCACTGGGACCAATAGAGTCTTCCACCATTAGGGGATTCCTGCTCCAAAGTAGATCGGTGGAGGTGACCTGGGAGGTGGCTTTCTGACCCCTGGTGACAGTAGCTTTGTAGGCTCTGGAAGTCTGGGGGGAAAACCACCTTATCTTGGCCAACCACTGCTCAGAGCTGGAGCACAGCTTTCCTGTTCCCTGTGTATGGCCAAGAGGGTGGGGGAAAAGAGAGGGCACCTGGCCAGGACCCAGTGAGTTCCCCTGGCAAGTCTGAGGGACTGTGTGCAGACGCCAGAAGGGCTGACCTCATTCCCCAGACCTCAGGCAGGGCTCGGAATGGCTTCAGCACTGCAGCCTGGCAGCGCTCCTGTCCACCAAGAGGAGAGACAGGAGAGGAAGGAGGCCTGTTTGAAAGCATATGGCTTGTGGTTTTTCCAAACGTTTTCAATTCTTGATTTAAATCTCTTTCACTACTGTAGTCAATTGTACCTCCTTTTGTTTTAACACTTCATGTTATTTTATGGTCTTGTCCTTCCCTAGAAAAGTTCATTTGGGGCCAGCTCTGTGACTTTCAGACAGCTATCTGGCACCCCACTGGGCTCAACAGGTGTTTGCTGCGGGGCTAAACGAATGAATGAAGTGATTCCCTGGAAAAGTTCAGGGAAATGTTTACTCTCAGCGATTTTCTTCTTTCTTAAGCTGTAGCTTATCACTTACAGTATCCTCTATGGATGTGCAAGTGAAATTGGCAAAGTTGATTTAATGGTGTTGGAGAAACTCTTAACCTTTTTGCTCTCTGAAATGCAGTGTTTATTTCTCTCTTTATTGAAATACCGTGTTTGATTAACGTGAGCATTCTCACTTCATGATTGAAAAGGCAGGGGACCTGGATCCTGCCCAGGGCCATCGGTCACAAAGCGGACCACGAAACCTACTCCAAGCCGAGCACGGGACTCAGATGCAGGAGACAACGACCCTAGAGATGCGCCTGGCGCTGACAGCACCCCCGGACCTTGTGGTTGCGCGTGGCCCAGTCGCAGACTTCGGAACTGGAGATTCAAGGGGCGGTGGGTCCCCAGGGCGGGCATGAGGGCCCCACGCAGGTGTCGGGCCTGTGCACAGGGTGCGCGGGGCCTGGGAGACCCGAGAGAGACGTTATTGTTACACTGTAACGAGTCTGATTAACATGCTCCTGACACTTTCTCTTAGTTTCTCTGGCTCCTAGCAACAGCACACAAAGGCGCAGGATTGTCTCCGGCTCCGCGGGGACACGGGGCAGCCTTTGATCTGCCACCATTACAGCCGGGCTGCGCGACAGGCTCGTAGGGCCCAGGCAGCCCGCGGCGGGCGGCCGAGCGGGGCCCGCAGTCCCGGCCACCGGGCCGCCGGCTCCCCCACTGCGGCTCTCGCGGTCCCCGCCGCCCCGACGGCCGCTGCGCCCGAGCGCCGCTCCTCGCGCGCACCTCCTCGCACCTCGCGCGGGGCCTCCGGGGACGCGAACGGTGCGGTGCGACGCGGGACGGCCGGGGTCGCTGGTCTTCGGGTCTGGGCCTCCTCGCGCTGATCGCAGTCCATGGCGAAGAGCGCGCGGCGCGGGCACCCGGACCGGGACCGGAACCCGACATGTCCTGGCCGCCAGCGCGCAACAACTTCCCACGCGGCGCGCGTGTCCAGGCTCGCCGTGCCCTTCCCGTCGGAAGGAGAAAAAGGAAAACCCAGCTGCTCCCTTATAATGGAGAAAACAAACGAGTAAAATAATCTAAAAAGGAAGGACTTAGTTACGCAGTCCCGTAAGACTTTCATAATAAATTCTCCGCAGGCTTCCGCCCGCTTAGCTGAAACTGGGTTGAACGCGGCAAACCATCTCCGAGCTGGGGAGGCTGCCGGTGCCGTTCCACGGCCAGCCGCTGTGGAGGTGTGCTGCCAGGTAATTACAGGAACCAAACAAACCACCACCACCACCAAAATGCACCGCCACAGAACTGCAGAAAGCTGCCGGGTCCCACCGCGCAAGTTTGCAGGTATAAGCTGGGGATCGGAAAGTCATTTACTTTCCATTTTGGTCGTTCTCTTAGCTCCCCCTCCCCTGGCCCAGTTTAAACTAGAGCGCGGAAAGAAAGGCTAAAATTACGGCTTTAAATGTGGAAGTCCGGTAATTGCTGTCCCTTAAAATCGGCCGGTGAAGACCTCGCGCGGGGGGAAGCTGGAGGCTCGGACCTCAGAGTCCGCGTCCCTGCCCTCCGCAGTTACAGACCCGTCCCGTAACCCTCGCCGGCGTTAATGTGCACGGGGTCCCGCTGGAAATCTTATGACCTGTTTTATACCCTCAATTGCTTTCCTAGCGCTAAGGAAAAAGTAAAAATAAAAATGGAAGTTTCAGGTCGCAAGATACACCCAAGTTCTAAAAGCGGAATGTCCCTCAAATCAAAAAGCTGCTGCTTTCTTCTGTTCATGGTATCTCAGAAAATTCCATGTCCCCAACAGAAAGTCAGCTTCCTGAACTCCCACCAAGCTCCCACAAAACTCTGGAGAGCAAAGGTCAGAATGATACTTATGTTTTAGAGGTGAGTCAGCACATGGTTTGTTCTCTTTACCCAGCAAAACAGGCCAAACTTTCAAATTTAAATCGGAGGCCGGGAAGTCTTCATTCTGCAGGACACTGTTTCACCCGCCTGTCCCTGGAGGAGAGCAGGTGAAAGTAGCCTAGACAGTAGTTCAAACCTTGGACATCGGAAGGGAAGGTCCCCAGATGCTCAGAACTCCCTAACTGTGCTCAGAGACTGGGCCCCCTGAGACTGGAGTTCCCTTGATCGTTTCAATAAAACATGACTATTGATATAATCCTCTATACATTAAAATGAGGTTGTCACAGATTGTCATTAAGACCTCAGTAAAACAATGAAGACATTATTGGGTACACTCCCCACCCCAGGCAAGGTATTAGGGGAATAAAGCAATCTTACACCACACGGGTCCTATTGAGATTAATGAAAAAATTATGCAAAAAAAAAATCTCAATTTCATTTTCCCGTGATGGGGTTTTGCGTACATACAGTCAGACTTGCCTTGCACCTGATGATTTATTAAACTAATCTATGGTGATCACCACTGATGTTCTCAACTCAATCTTGTCCTGGCTCATTTTCTAAGTAATTGTTTCTCATTAGTTCTGATAATGTTTTAATAGTGTTACCCATAATTTAGCCTCCAAGAATTAATAACAGGGGGGTGATACGGGGAAGCAAGTGGCTGTGATGAGCTACACAAAATATAAACAGGTATGGTTTTTAATTAATCCAATTTAGCTGCCTTCCTGGGCTGGCTTCCCGGCAGAGGAGTTGGGTAGACCGCATTTCCCATGTTAGCTGTGGCAGTACATATCAGCTCGCTCACCACAAGGGCTGCCTCCCACCTTCACCCACCACAGCACCAGAGAGGCAGGCTAGAGAAGAGTAGGAATATCTCTACCTCTCCTTGTCCTGGAGTTCTGTCTGTCAAAGGTGTGATGGAGCTCTGGCCATGACTGAACACGTTAGGGTCTTTGCTCAGAGTGAAACCTTGGTCTTTGTTTTTGGAGTCTAGCAGGTCCCAGTGTCATGATCCTACTCAGAATGGGACCACTGGGTTAAGAATAAGATCAAGCTGATGTTTGAGGAGACACCAAACAAGGTGTAAACAGGGTGCAACTTCAGACAAGGACAATCCAACGTGGTGGGGACCTAAGGAACCTGTGGGCCTCTTGCTGGTGGGGAAGAAGGCCTAACTAGATCCAGCTCTCAGTACCACCCAAGACCTACTAAAGGACTGTTTTTCCTGAGGACTCTATGCCTTTGGTCCTTGCAGGTGTAGCTCCCTCAGAAGGAGGCTGTGGCTTGAGGAGGGCCACCTGTATGCATTTGGAGGCTGCCTGCACCATTGAGGAGGAGACTAGAACCTGTGCCTTTGGTCCTCTCAGAGCTTATCTGGCTCATTGCTTCTTCTAAGACCGTCTGTGTGTGTGTGTGTGTGTGTGTGTGAGTGTGTGTGTGTGTGTGTGTGTGTGTGTGTGAGACAGAGAGAGAGAGAGAGAGAGAGAGAGAGAGAGAGCCTTCCTTTTGTCTCTGTGCAGTCCTCTTGTGTCTGTGTTCTGAACAGAGACTGAGTGTGAATACCTGTGGGCCTGGCTTACCCCATGCACACTTGACTTCATGATTCCCAGCTGCAGCAGGGGCTTGGTGTGGGTACTTCTTTAGGAAGTTCGGCCCACTGTCCCTGTCCTCAGTCCTGAAGCATAGCCGGGCTAGAGGCCAGTTGCATCTGAAGGTGGCAAGATGGCATTTTCTTCCTTCCCAGTTCCAGAGTGAGGATGGGGATGGTTTTCACTTGCCTTTCCAGAAACTCTGGGGCAGCACAGGGCGACCCAGGTGAGGGGTGATGATGCCCTAATGAGGGGCTGGAGAGGCTGCATGGGAGGGGGGGAGATGCACTGCTCAAGACAACGGCCCCCAGCCTGGTATGCCCCATCTCAGGTAGAAAGCTGTCTCCTTGGGTCCTGTGTTTGGATCTGGATCTGGTTCCTTCACATCTCAGTTGGAATAGGGTCTGCTTCTTCCTGTCCTGCACTGGGATAGGTGGGGTGCATGGACCTCGTGGCATTTTCTGACTCGATTTTGGGCTGCTGATGCTGTTGCTGGTAACTAAACTTAACCTCTACTCACTTCTTAGGCTTCCTGTAGGAATTGGAAGAAAGTGGCTAAAAGTAGACCCCTGGTTGGGGCACACGCCAGGGGCCAGAAAGGGGAAAAACCAAAAAGGCATAGGAGGAGGTGAAAGATGGAACTGAAAAACAACTGTTTTCTATTTACAAATTTAAATCAACAGAGCAGCCTTCCCTGCCGGGTTTGTCTAAGAGCAGCAGCATTGCTGCTGTGTAGGTCATGAAAAGGTTGGTGTAGAGTTTTAAACTTCCCATTCTGTTAATTTCTTAAAGAACAGTTGTCCAGAGTCTCCACACAAAAGCTCATGATTTAATGAGGAACAGAAACAAAATCTCTGATTGTTGGTGTTTCAAACTTCATTGGCGTCCTCTGGCACGGACAAGTTGATCCTCGCAGCTTCAATACCCTTTAGCCTTCAATATAAGAGTACATGCTGAATAGGGAACAATGGCTGGTTGTTATGTTTATTTACCCTTACTACAAGCTGGGTTAACCTCTTCAAAACAGCTTTACTAAGCCAGTTAACCACACCACCCATATGACCTGTAGCAGCATCTCTAATGTGATGCAAATCTCACAGGGGCCATATGCACCAGCCCCATGGCTTTGTGTCTTCTGAGACACTACAAGTTTATGGCTGAGGGAGTCCAGTCCCGGCCTTACATTTCAGGCGGGGGTGGGGGGGTGGGGGGAAATGGCCTCATTGGCGAACAGTTAAATGGGAAAATAAAAGATGGAGGTCGTGTGTTTCTGCATTTATTTTTTAATTGCCGGTAACTGTTGACACAGAGCATTCACCCAGGAGGAGAGCTTTGGCTTCACCATCCTGCAGTTCGAGGATGTGGGTGTAGCATTTGGGGGTTGAGGGTGCACAGGAATTGGTTCTGAGTTTATTTTTGAAGGTATCTTTTAAAGCCAATATAATACTTAACAAGGCTTTCAATCCTATCTCTGTTTTTATCATATTACAAGACCTCTTAATTTTGTTATTATTTTTAAAAAGCTTGGCCTTTCTTTAAATTATCTGTGGTCTTGGCTGAATAAAGTGGGAAACATTTGCTAACAGGAGAAGGGTGGAGGAAAGATCTGTTTCCCTAAAGTTCAACTTCCTCTTGCCACCCATCTTTCCCCAGGAATTTATTTTCCCGTGCAATCATAAATCCATATTTGTAATACATTAATAAACAATAATAAAATCATAAGTTTGGACCCCAAAGGGAGAAAGTTCATTTTAGAGGAATAACTGGCCAGTAAGGCAACAAAAACAAAAACAAAAAAAGCGTAATTAACATGAGCTGTGAATGGAGCGAGGTCCCAATCTGACATGCTAACAAGTTGCCTTGAGTATACGGTCTGGCTTTAAGAAACCCACTGTATATGTTCAGCCCACCTGATGAGAGCTTCATTTCACAGATCATTTTTCCCTGATGGATGTGGCAAGCGTAACAATGTTCTGAGCCTGCTTCAGTAATGGCATGTCGATCATACTCCCTTGGAAAGTAAAAGCTCCCTGGAAAACAGAGAACACAAACTTCCTGAAAGAATGCTCGGAAATTATAGGCTTCCTTTCTGTGCACACTTGTATAACAAGAACATTTTAGATTCTACCTGAATTGAGCTGACTTTCCTGCCCAACTTTTGAGAAAGCCAAAGTAAATTGCAGGGGAAAGATTTCTTTCTTTTCTTTTTTTTCTTTCTCTCCTCTTCAGCATTTTAATGGAAAGGAAAAAATCATCTCCTGACATGAAGCAGAAAACAACTATGGAAGGAAAATTTCAATGCTTCCTTATATACCATTTTTGAAATATTATATAAGACTTTAAAATGTATTCTGGTAACTGAATATTGTTTAAAAAACTGCCTGATTAGAGTAACAGCAAAATGCTTCCTCCTTGCATAACATAATTGAGGGGTGTCACTGGATGGTGATGAGCAAATGCAAAGTATGATTGCGCTGAGTGAAAGAGACTAGGCTGTTTGGACACACAAGGAGAATACAATGACATGCAGCTGTAACAAAGAAATCACACATCTGTTGACTGATGAGACTGGGTGGCATCTCTGAGATACCCTTGTGTATCTCCATTTTACCACTATTTTGCAGGTTCTTTTTTTTTTTTTGGTAGTAGTAGGGTTTGAACTCAGGGCATCATGTTTGTGACGCAGGTATTCTTCCACTTGAGCCATGCCTCCAGCCAGTTCTTTTTATAAATTTTCTAAAAATGCTTATTTATGTGTCATGTAAAAAGCGAGGGCCAGCATAGTTAAGGGATCTTCCAAGGTTCTATGTCTAGGAAACAGAGCTATGCTAACACTTGGGTCCCAGAGCTTTGTGTTGTCACCAGAGACTCCCATGTTAAGATAGCTGGGTTTCTTTAGTGTATCAGTAAAGGGAAAATTAAATGGGTAAAAGGCAGCATACCCAGAACCCTAGTTAATGTCTGGTTATTTATGTTCTTTTAATCACTTCTTTTTGCTGCTTATAGTCACAGTCCTTATCTTAACTCTCCTTCTTCTACCTGTTGGCAAGGAGGTTGCTGTGATTGGGGAGCAGGTGGTCCTCTGAGACCTGAAGGTGGGTTGAAAGACTCTTAATCCTTACTGATTATGGTTCATTTGCATACCGTGCAGCCCATTTCTGGATGCTTGTCCACAGTCAGTGCCGTGCTTAGGGTTTCTGGGATGTGTGTGCTGAACTCCCACAATGGGAGCTATGAGGTAGTCATTTGGGGCTATATATACATATGATGGGAGTAAAAACCAAAACAAAACCCCTAAAAAACAAAAACCCCCCAGAGAAATTAGCAGGAGATTCTTAGCAATATCTTCAGAATTTATCTTTCAGTCAATAGAAATTTCAAAGCCTACACACACATTAGACTTTGCCAGTAGTGCCTGACCTTCTCAGCTTTAGACTAATGAACTGGAGTCCTGTGAGCAAGTGTGTGAACCTAAATCCTGTACTGTAAGTCACTTCATGATCCTTTCACTTGTACTACTTATACCTCGGATTGGCCTCTGTCTGATTTCATTCTGACTAACGCCAATGTGGGTCATCTTTCTGACCATGATGAATTTTGTGAATTTGCTTTGTGGAGGTTTCCTGGGTTAGCATTCCATGGACATCAGGGTGTGGGTCACATGCTGTTTTATAAGGCAATCCTCTAGTTTTCTGATTGGAGTAATGAGGAAGACCAAAGGCCTCTTGGTGATCCGCCCACCAAGTGGATTATGGCCCTGTAAAACAGCACATCTGTCCTTCGATGGCTTAAATAATAGACTGGAGAGACAAAATTAGCATAGATGCACGTGAAATCAAAACGATGCTCAGAGAATCAAAACGATGCCTTTGGGTCTAGGCCCTGTTGTCCCAACTGCTTTGCATTCAACATGCACATCAAAGCTGAAAATTACTTCATTTCTTTCTTTTATGGTGGCAGATTTTGCTTGATTTACTTTAGTTTGGTGGCAAACAAAATTTAGCATTTTTGTTCTGTGTTTATCTCTGCAAATTGAGGATTTTAGTGTTAAGAATTCGACTGCATGGTATAAATGTCCTACACTTTCACACATCGACCTATAACCTGGCTGTTTTTTTTTTTTAATATTATGGATAAACATGGGAAATGTAAGCAATCTGGTGCTTGGGATTTGGAAAAATATAGTTTGTCAAGGAGCAACTTGGTTTTCAGGGAGGATTTGAAGTATTCCTTAGGGATGATTATAGAGAAGTTTCAATTTCACTGCCTAATGCTGTCTTGAAAAATTGCCCATCTCAAAAAGTGCAGGGAGGGGCTGGCAGAGTGGCTCAAGTGGTAGAGTACCTGCCTAGCAATTGAGAAGCCCTGAGTTCAAACCCCAGTACCACCAAATAAATAAATAAATAAGTTCAGGGAATTTCCACCAACTTGAAGATTCTTACTATAATTGTTTAAAATACCTTTAAATAACAATATGTTCATGGCTACATTCTTTAACAACCATGACAGCAAAATAGTAAGAGTGATAATTTTTTAAGTGGTTACTAATCCTAGGACCGGTGCCTGGGACTTCATGTTTTATTTCATGTAATAACAACACTTTGGAGTAGATATTATTATTCATTCCATTAAAAGTCTTTTTTTGATTTTGGTAGAAAAATACATAACATAAAATTTACCATCTTTGTCATTTTTACATGTATAGTTTGGTAGTGTTGTGTACTCATGGAGCTCCACACCTTTCTCATCCTGCAACACTGAAACTCTGCACCATTAAACAATGCCCCTTTTCTGCCTCCCTGTAGCTCCCTGGCAAACACCATTCTATTTCCTTCTCTATTTAAGTAATTTACTTATTGGTGGTACTGGAGTTTGAACTCAGCTTCGCACTTGCTGGGCAGTTGCTCTACCGCTTGAGCCACATTTGCAGCCTTCAACTCCTACACTGCTGCCTTTTATTCCACAGGGGCCTCATGCATCACTTATTGTCATAGATCCCTGCTCAGTGGCTGGGCACCTCTTACTGGGTACAGGTCTGTGATTTCAGACTCCTGGAAGTGAGAACCAGTATCCCAGTAGCATACACGTCATCTGCATATGAGGGAAAATGGTAACCACAGGCTGTAGATTTTCTGACACCTTGGTCATTGCTGTGACAAGATAGACACTGAAGTAACAAAACTTCCTCAGATGGAGAAGAATCCAACTTACTGTCTGCTGAGGAAAGTAGTGGTGAGGGTGGTCGTTATGACAACAGTGACTGCATAGATGGGGAATAGTCACATATTTTGCATTTCTGGCACTTAGTACTTGAGATTTTTTTTTTCTCTAGGGCAAGTAGCTAGAAGCCAAACATTGATCTAATTCTTTTCCTATTTGCTTTGTTTTCAAGAACTTCTTTGCACACTCAGGGTGTTCCCTGGCACATCCTGATGCTGCTGCTGACTCCCTCAGAGAGGAATCTCTAGGCCAGCACTCAGGGTAATGAGAGCACGGCTGTTCCAGTCTTCCCCTCGAGCTGACACCTTTTCCTACGTGGTAGTGAGTCTTTTGCTCAGTGAGTTCACCATTTACCCATGACAGTTCCCAGTGAATTCCCAGCACTTTAATCAGTCAGTGTTAGGCTTTATTGGATTTCTCACTGTGATCCTGGTTGTGCTGTCTACTTGTTGAAGTCCTTCAGCCCCAGCCTGCCCTGTGAGGGGTTCTTCTTAGCAGTCAGCTGCTCCTTGACGCTCCTCACAGAAGGGAGGGATGTGCTCTCACCTGGACACTCTCATGGCAGGTCTCACTCCTCTCTTTCCTTTCTTTCCACTGGTCCCACTGGCAAAGTCCTTGGACAGGCCCTCAACGTGGCTTTGATTCACTCATAGTTTGTGATATTCATTTTAAGGATGGGGGTTTAGGTGTCAGGCTCTCAGAGCTCCGTTGGGGAGGCTGAAGCTGCTAAGCTGGCTGATAGATGTCTCACTGGGAGAGCTGGGACGTCTCTCTCTCTCTCTCTCTCTTTCTCTCTCTCTCTCTTTCTCTCTCTCTCTCTGTGTTTGACTTCCTCATTGGGATCTGGCTGTTATCTTTCTGAAGCAGATTTTTTTTTTTTTTTTCCAGTACTGGGGTTTGAACTCAGGGTCTACACCTTGAGCCACTCCACCAGCCCATTTTTGAGATGGGATTTTTTGAGATAGGGCCTTACAAACTATTTGCCTAGGCTGGCTTCAAACTGTCATCCTCCTGATGTCTGCCCCTGAGTAGCTAGGATTATAGGTGTGAGCACCAGCGCCAGCCTAAAGCAGATTTGATGGGTTCCTCCATTTGCTTAAGCCCTGTGGTGGCTCCCTCTGGACTTAAAAGAATCAAGCCCTGTCCCAGCTTCGTGTCCTAACAGTGTAGTAGGACTTCGACCCCCAACACACACAGACACACACACTCTGTACTGCATTCTGCCATGTGCTGTGGTCTCTGCTCCAGAGGTCCTTTCCCTTAGGTCTGGCAAACTCCTGATGCTTTAAGATGTCTGAAGGTACTGCCTCCTCTGTGGAGGTTTCATCTCCCTGGTCATCTCTCCTTTCCCACACAGCCTCTGTGACAGCCTTTGTCCACTCTCTTGTCATTACTGCCTTTCTCACTATGCTAGGAGGCCCTTGAGGGTGGAACCAGGTCTATGACTTTCTAGAACATGCTCCCAGGACATGACAAGTACATAGGAGATGTTCTGTGAAGGCCGACTAGACAATGATGGCACATACTAAAGGAGCGCTGGAGGTTTAGCTCAGTGGTAGAGCACTTGCCCAGTGCTGGGTTCCCTCCCCAGTACCAAAAAAAAAAGGAGGGAGCAATAATGGGCTTGATGGAATAGAAAGGCTCAGGTCCACAGGTGGTGACTGGATTTTTGTTTTTTTGTTTTCTACTGCACGTGACTGCTGGGTTCCTAAGTCACTGTGAAACGTACAGTGTGGATCCATCCCAATTAGTCCTAGGGACCAGTCCCTGTATCCCACCCCATCAGGCTATGCAAGACCTTTGCCCACTT